TTGATGCTCTGATGGGACAGTTCTCTCTCTGTGCCATCTCAACTATAGTGCGTCACCTGCAGCTGGCACATAGTAACTGTGACTGAGAAACTGATTTTGATATTTTTCATGTTTGTTTAAATGTAAATGCACCACGTGTGACCAGTACGTTCCACAGCAGACAGCCGAGTTTAGACAACAATGACAGTATTGGAAAGATGACTAATTTAGGGAGATTTGTTCTTTCCCAGCTGTAACAAGGTTCTGTTATAGGACTTCTTGTTGTGTGCTGTCAAGGTGGAGTTGGAACCGACTCACAGCTGACCCTCCAGTGGCTTTTCAGAGGCTGTAAATCACATGGGAGGAGATGCCCGTCGTTCCACGGAGCAGCTGGTGGATTCAAACCGCATTCCTTTGGGATTTCAGCAGAGCTGCTTACCATTTGGCCACCAGTTGTTGTTGTCAGGTTTCGTATGACTCACAAGAGAGCCAGACTGAACGCTGCTCTATCCGGTTCCATCCTCTACTCATTTTTTAGTGACTTCCTATCTAGGCTCTACCTCTAATACTTTAAGTCCTCTTGTTCTTCTGTTTCCAAGGCCTCTTGTTTTGGATGTGGATGGCAAGCCTTCTTCCTAATCTGTCTTAATCTAGGTACCCTGTTGCAAGCTCTGCATCATGGGTGACCCTCCTGGTACTTGAGACACTGGTAGCACCAATTCCAGCATGACAGCACCCCAAAAGCTACACCATCACAGCAGACTGACAGATAAGTGCTGTACCAGTTTTCAGTAGTGGGGGGTTATGTTGCCAACCCAGAAGCTTGTGGTTCAAAACTACCAGGCGCTCTGTGGGAGAAAGATGGGCAGTCCCTTCTTCCGTGATTTTGGCCTTTGAAAATTCACTGGAGGGTCAGCTGTGGGTCGGTTCCAACTCCACGAAGATAATAGTAACATGCAAAGACTAGTAACAATAACATGCAAAAACGAGTATTACTGTACAGTGGAGGATGATCACCTCACCTCACCTGAACTTTGAAAATCCCCCTGGGCCTGCTGAGGCCACATGGCACCACTGCGGCCGCCTCCTCCACATGGTCCCAGGCGAGCTCTGTTCCTGGCACTGCCGGAAGGGGAAGGCTGCCTAATTTCCCAGAGTCATGGTGGCCCAAGTTCCACCTTGCATCCCTCTCCCCTTTCCCACTGTACCCTCCTTCTCCTTTTATCTTTTTAGGACCCTGGCTCTTTGCCTCAGCAACCCCCAAACCCCCTCGATGGCTTATGTCAGGGGAAGAGTACGTCCTCCACAGGGGGTACACAATGCCTGCTGAATCCCCATGCCAGTTCCTTTTCTGAGCTCTCACTGGGCACCCGTGCCCCTATTAACCCCCATGAGTATTGACTGTTGAGTTTCTTCTGCAGCTTTGGTGGCGAGACCTAGCCTTTGCCCTTGCTCTTAAATTGGCACTTCTGGCCTTTCACCTGCTTAGCCCCTTCCCAAGTAGCCTGCCCCGTCCCGGGACCCACTGAGGGAACAGAAGGGGCTGCACAGGTGTTGGTCAGCTGCCTTGCCCAAGGCTCCTTGGGACCACAGCCTGTCCAGTTCCTGCCATCCTTCAAGGCTGGGAGCTGGGGCCAGGCTGACTCCTCCTTAGCCTTGAGGTGAGGTAGATCCCCCTTCAGGATACCAGCTGCCAGTGCCCTAACCTTGGCCTGCTGTGGGAACCCAGGAACTACTAGGTAGCATCCTGTCCCTGCTGGCCCACATCCACTGACACCCCGGTAGATTGGAGAAGCCATGACCCCTCTCCCCTTTTGGCGGTGAATCACACCATGCACTATTACTTCCTTTCCACTTGGCCACAGGGTCCACCAGCATGAGAGCCTGTTACAGACCTCAGCATGAGAGCCTGTTACAGACCTCAGCATTCATTACTACAGGATGCATGTTACTAAATGCAAAATAGTCATACAGTAGATTTTTACTGTTGTCATAAATGTGAAGTGTCAGATAAAGAGACAGTAGGTACAATCAATATACAGTAAGGAACTCATGCTAATTACTGCTATTGGGAGTATATTTTATGCCCTTACATGCAATCATTATAAAATTTTAGACAAGAATGAAGACAGAAGTAACAGCCCTTCATGGTAAGTAAGAGATTGCCTCAAAATAAGAGTCTTGATTTTAATTGTTAATCTGAACCCATCCCCCCAAGCAGGTTATTACTTGGGAGAGGGGGGATGGGGGCCCTTGGGTCTGACCCTGCAGTGGGTTTCAGAGGCTGTAAATCACATGGGACAAGATTGTCCGCCCTTCTCCTGTGGAGCAGCTGGGGGATTTGAACTGCCGAAATGCACCACCTTTGGGTCAGCGGCACAGCTTCTGTGTCTGGCTTCTTCCACTTGGCGTAATTTGCCAGGTTCATCTGCCTTTTATAATGTACCAGGACTGCTTCTTACGCCTGAATACGATTTCAGGTTTTGGCTAGACCCCATTTTTTCATCCATCTTTTTTGTGTTCGAGTTTGCCCATTAGGAATAAGCTGCTGTGGACATTTGTGCCTGTGCTGTTCTGGGAAATGCTCTTGAGCATCTATAGACCTCGGATCGGAGCTGGGCTGTTGTGGCACCTTTCGGTTTAACTCGGGACCTGCCCGACTGCCCCACGGTGTCTGTACTATTTAACATCCCCCCAGCAGTGCTTGAGTGTCACAGGGTATCCGCATCATCACTGACACGTTGACCTTTTACAATTTTTAAAAAAATTTGCTTTTAGCCATCTTGGGGAATATGAAAGAGACTCTGGTGACAATGCTTTATGTGTTAGGCAACTAACCCAAAGATGTTCGTTCACTTAAAATCCACTGCTCACACACAATTTGTGAGGAAGATGGGGCAGATTAAGATTTATAGCCTAGGAAACCAGTGAGGTGGACTCCGTGTAGGAATGGATGGTTTCGTTAGTGAGGGTGGAGGAATAGCTTTTTGGGATTTTGATTTCTTCATCTCTGGGGGTGTAGGGAGCTCTGGTGGTTTAGTGGTAAGGAGTTGTCCTGTCAATGGAAAGACACCTGGTTCAGATCCACTAGCTGCTTCACAGGCAAAAGGTGGGCAGTGTTCTCCTGTGTGATTTATGTCCCTGAAAACCTGCTGGAGGGTCCGCCTTGTGTCGGTTGACAGTACACAACAGCAGCGTGCGCTGACATCGTAAAGGATCATAAGGCTGACCCTGGTGGTCAGGCTGCGAATCGGGTGGCGTGACTCTTCCACCCACTCCTTGCGATAAAGGCAGACGCTCTCAGATTTACAGTTTGGGGAACCTGTGGAGAGTTGTTGTGAGTCGACTCGACCTGATGGCAGTGGGTTGGTTTGTTCTTAATAATATATTGCACATATTTTCATGTGCTTCTTGGACATTAGTATGTCGTCTTTGGTGAAATGTTTGTTCAGGTCCTTTTCCTGACACCTCAGAAGAAAGATCTGGTGATCAACTTTAAAAACAACCAGCTACTGAAAACTTTATGACAAGTACATTTGTACTTTTAACACCCATTAATCATCAGGAGTGAGAATCAACTCTACAAAAACCATTAAAAAATGCCAAACTTTTTGTTAGGTTTTAAACAGTTTTTACATATTTTAAATTCAATTCCCTTATCAGATAGTAGCTCGTATTTATTTGATCCTTTGTGAAACCCTAATCTGGGGGGTGGTGGTGTTGGGCACCATCAAGTTGGAACCAACCCATAGCTGACCCTCCAGCAGGATTTCAGAGGCAATAATTGTGTGGGAGGAGATTACACACCTTTCTTCCCTGGAGCAGATGCCTGGATTTGAATTGAGTGCCTTCAGGATTGCAGCACAGATTCTTAGCACTAGGCTACCAGAGCTACAAGAACAACAATCTGGAGGGAGTGTCATTTGAATGGAAACCTACACTCCAGGAGGTGATAGCTAAGTGGAGACAGGAGAAGGCCAGTCTGAAGAGGCCCTTGGGTGTACCGAGAGGCCCTTGGGTGTACAGAGTGTGTCCCCAGTGGTTACTTCAGCATGGTGGAACCACAACCCAAGGATGGAGGGTGAAGCTTGGCGAGGGGAGGGAGTGGGATTGACTTGCCATGGGTCTTTTACGGCCAGGGAAGAAGCTTGACCATAATACTGTGGGCAGCGAGACACGGACTTAACAGCTTGAAGGGAGAACTGTCCAGGCCATTTTGTAGAACATGCAGCTCTTGAAGCGTCTTTAGGCCTTTTTCTGTTCCTCCAGTTGTCTAAAAACTCCTGCGTCTACTGAACACTTTAATTCTATGAAATCATGGACAAGCATGCTGATTTAGGAATTTTTGATGATTATAGTTGCTATTTTTGTTATGCCTTTCCGAAGATTACTAGCAATTGTGTCATCAAATTTTAAAAGATTTAAGCCTCTGTGCTTTATATTACAGTTTTGTTCCCCTCCAAGTGCCCGTGAGATTGAAAATTCAATTAAACACTGGTAATTGGGCTTTTAGTATTTGCAGCATATGGTGGTTAGAGAAAAATTAGTATACTTCTGTATACATAGATTTGAGGTTTTATTTAATCATTTACTATTCTCCTAATATTTTATTAAGAAGCAAATGATAGGTTGCAGCAGATCTGTACCGGCCGACATAAGGCACTTGGACAGGCTTTTAGTTTTCAGTAACGTATCTCCTGTGTTGCGCTCAGAATATGTGTTGTGTTTCCATTTCCTTATTTCTCTCCTGTGAGATGCTGAACTCGGGAATGTGTTTGCTTCTCCCCACCTGGATGTCTTCTTTTAATTTTTTAATGCTAGTGTGTAGCAGGTGGCAGTGTTAGTTCTGATTAATGATACACTAGTCCTCAAAAACTGACATACTTTTGTTTGAAGCGCCATTTTATTCTTTTTTTTCTGCCATTTTATTCTTAAGCACAAAATACTATGTAAAATTTTACTGGAAACGTTCAAATGATCTTTAAACTTATTAATTGTCACATTTTTCTTAACAGGCATTTGTAAAGGATGTTCATGAAGATTCAATAACAGTTGCATTTGAAAACAAGTAAGTACCTTCATAAGGTTTGTAAGACATCTTTAAATAATGCTCAGCTCCTTTAATGATTTTATGCTTGTTATTTTAATTTTTTTTAAGTGGTCAAGACCGGGAGGTTCCCCCCGCAGCTCTGCATCAGACCATTGCAATGACAGTTCCTTCTAATGACCTGAGAGGCCCCTCTTGAATAATCTAGATCCTCGCCTTTCAGTCCCTGGACAGTGTATTAACCCAGAATTTAGATAGGAACATTTGTCATTTTTAAAGCTTGAAAGTGAGGGAATTCATGGGAATTTGTTTAAAACAATGTAAATTTTGCAACATTAAATAGAAAACCAGTTGTTTGCTGTTTGGTATATTTTCTAGAGATGATCATGGCTACCCATTATCTTTCTTTTGCAACAGTCAGTTTCATCTTTTTTAAAATCAGTAGTACCACTAGCTGATCATTCTTGCTTTCTTCTGATGAGAAAATAAAAATACCCTAGGAGCATGTGCTGTAGAATCATGAGTAGTAGAAATGACGTCGTTAATAATAGCCATTCGTGATCCCAAAGTCCATATTAACTCCATGGGCAAGGGTTCCACTCACCTCTGAGAAATGTATAACAATTAGAATCAAGAGAATGAATAGTCTATTCAGAGGAGGTCGTGAGTCTGTAGAGAAGTGGAAGTGATTGTTTATGACTAGGGAAATGAGCAGAGAGGCAGATGATAGCTCAGATACCAGGTGTCTTTTTGAAAAGATGGAAAAGTTCTAAGAGGGACTGTGTTGATGGTTTTACGAAAAACCATTGAATTGTACATTTTAAAGGAGTGCATTGTGTGATATGCAAATTTTATCTCAGTAAAACTGTTAACAAGTAGGTGAGCCAGACACATAGAGCAAGAAAAAAAAAAAGTCCCTGATTCTAAAAAAATTTAAGATGCAGGCCTGGATTTTAGTGTCTAGACAATCAATTTCATAATTAGACAAATTCTTTCAGGCACTGAGATGACAGAGTAGTGACACCTTTAAGGGGACAAGGATAAAAGGATTTAGATGACAGAGTCCTCTTGGCACTTTCCGATGAATATTATTGGACTACAATACAAGTTGGAGTAGTAGGGCTGGATAGAGCCGGATGTGGCAGGAGGTGCCTCTCTGTTGTTTCAGCTGCCCGTGGTTGCACTCATCCAACTAGCGTTTAAGCGTGCAGGCATCACACCTGTAAAGAGGATCAGTATTAACCAATACCGGGAGAGTAATTTTTCTTCTTGTAATGACTCTTATCTGCTTGTTCCTATCATTGTGTAAACACTAGGTCTCCAATAAAAGAGAGTTCTGTTTGCCACTCTTTCAGTGTCCTTCATCTAAAGAATGAAACAAACACTTGTTACCTCTGTGCATTTAAAAATGTGTCTTGTCATTACACTGATTTATCAGACCCATATTCTTTGATTTTTCAGTCAGATTTTGACTCTAAATACCAAATTATCAGATTCTTGAATTTCCTATTTTCCATATTTTAATATGCATAAAAGTTTGTCACCAAGCTTTTTATCATCTTGGGGATAGAAGATGAAGTATTTGCTCCTGATAGTTACAGAATATTTTTTTTCAGAATATTTTTTATAGAAAGCACTGGATTTGGTCATGTCACAAGGAGTTTGACAGGATTCCTACCACAGAACTGTATAGGCATACCTTGGAGAGATTTTTGGTTTGTTTCCAGACCATCCAAATAAAGTTAAAATTGCAGTAAAGCAAGTAACACAGATAATGCTGGTTTCCCAGTGCTTAGAAAAGTTATGTTTCTACTACACTGTATTCTCTTAAGTAAGTGATGAACAAGTTGACAGACACAGAGTGAGCACATGCTGTTAGAAAAATGGAGCCAATAGAGTTGTTCAGTGCAGGCTTCCTTCGACCTTTGATTTGTGAAAAACAGTATCTAGAATAAAACAAAGTCAAATAAAGCTAGTATGCCTGCAGTCTCTTAACAGTTATATGTTTTCCTTTTGTTTGGTTTTAAATTAAAAATGATTCCTGAGTCTTTTTCATTATGTTTTCTTTGTGCTTGTTCTTCTATCTAAGACAGTGTTTTCTAGTGATAGAACTTGAGACTCTTTTTACCCTTCAAAGCAGAGAAACTTGTTACTCAAGCACTAGGTATTTTAGAAACTTTGTTTTTACCTGCTGAATTTTACATTTTTAAATAAAGATTTTGCATTTTTATCCTATTAAGACTTAAAATTGTTGACATACTACAAGTCACAAATTTTTCTCTTTTCTGAATGTGAATACTTTAAAACTTGAAAATTTTCTTGTTTTCAGTAGAAAGCAGTTAATTCAGAGGAAGGTCTGGCTTAGGCCCTATTGGATTGCCACAGGTTTGAGTTCATTGTCTGCCCCTTTTCACATAATTGTTGTTATATGTCATTGCGTTGGAACTAACTCATAGCTGACCTTCCAGTGGGTTCTCAGAGGCTATAAAATAGCACGGGAGGACATTGCCCACTTGCTTTTGGGATTGCAGCTCAGCTTGTTACTACTAGGTCACCAGAAGTCTATTTAAAAAAGACTTTGAAATTTACTCACTAGGTTGAGAACACCCTTTACCAGAACACTGACATTCAAGCCCTGCCTCTGAGCTGTTGTGGGTTCGGAGCCAGGCCAGTGCAGGAAAACAACGCAATCAAGTGAGTCACATGACTTCTGAAGCATCCTACTGCATATAAAAGGCACATTCACACTATGCTGTAGTCTGTGAGGTGTACAATAACTTGGTGAGAAAGTGTGAGTTATTGTGAAAGTGACAGTGACTTTGGAAAATGCACAGTTAGACTTGCTCTACACAGGGTTGCCTTCAGTTTGATTAAAAAAAAAAACACCACCAAACAAACCAGTATCTGTGAAGCACAAGTAACAAGCATGCCTGTCTACATAGGATGCAAAGAGCTCAGACTGACTGTTCCAGCAGTTGAATGCCTCCAGTAGTTTTGTAGTTTGCCTTTTCATATTTTATGTGTTATGTTGAAAAACAAATCTATTTCAAAACTATTCATATCATTAAAAAAGTAAAAGACAACTTACTGAACTTCTGTAGACTGTCTTCCCGGGTTTCTGTGGTCTGTGCGAGCCTGCAAGGCCAGTGCATGGTGGTACGTCGCACTGAGCTGCACCCATGGAGCTCGCCACCTCGTGGGATCTAAAATATAAAGGGGCAAAAGTGAGTTGTACATTGTTCATGTGCTGACTGCCCCGTTTTGCTTGGGTATTTGATGGCATTTCAGGTCTGTTTCTGTGGTCATTGGAATGTGATTATACTTCTTTTGCAAGCAGAAGTATGTCGATGATGTTACTAACATTGGTACTAATATTGAAACAGTGAAAGACATTTTCTCTTGTAGCCTTAAGTCTTAAAACTCTCAGAGGCTGGAATTAGTGGAAGAAAGACCCTGTTTTGAAGATGTTAACGTTTGTATTGCGTTCCAAGAGCTATTCTAAGTGGAGCTGCTGCGAGTTGCCGCGCTGCATGTGAACTCTTTTGCCAGAACCTTAACGTCTTAGAGCATCTGCTGCTTTCAGCTAGAACGACAGATGAGCAGAGCTAACCTAAAGTGATGGAAGTGTGGTCATTGTGTCCGTTGTACCAGAGAAGCGTAATGATGTCTTTGCTTCCTTGCAGCTGGCAGCCTGAGAGACAGATCCCATTCCATGATGTGAGATTCCCACCACCCGTAGGTTATAATAAAGATATAAATGAAAGTGATGAAGTTGAGGTAAGTCTCTCTCGCTCTCAAGTTACTAAGCATTGAGGGCTGTTGAATTTGCTTGTGTCTTGTTTCCAACTTTTAACACTGCTTCGATTGTCATGTTGAGAATGAAAGCTGAGATGGACCTGTGTGCTTTAAAATACCGCCCCCGCCCTAAGAGACAGCCCCAAACCAAACCCATTGTTGTTTAGAGAGAGCCTGCAGTGAGCCTGTGGGATTAAGGAGAGCTGCGCGGTAGGGTTTCCGAGACAGCTTCGGTAAACCCCCTTGACCAGAGCGGACTACCTCCTCCTCTTCCTCTGGGGGTGGCTAGTGGGTTCAGACTGCCGGCCTTTGGTCAGCAGACACACAGTGTAAGCCCTGTGGCACCAGAGCCTTTGGCCTCTGACTCTGACTCCACAGTCCGAGTCGTGACTGGCCTGGGGGGTGATGCTGCAGTTTGCCTGCTGGAGTGGCCTGGCGGCATGTACGTGAGCGTGAGCATCTACGTGGTGAGCGTGAGCGTCTGCGTCGTGAGCGTGAGTGCGTGAGCGTCTGCGTCGTGAGCGTCTGTGTGAGCGTCTGCGTCGTGAGTGTCTGCGTGAGTGTCTGCGTGAGTGTCTGCGTGAGCGTCTGCGTGAGCGTCTGCGTGAGCGGCGTGTCGAAGACTCTTCACAGAGCGGTAAGTAGTCCTGTTGGAGTGAGTTGCCGCGTCTGTGTCGCTGACTCGGCCGTTTCGTGGGCGGGTAACTCCTTCCCTCCGAGTTGTGCGCCCCGCCCCGCCCCGCTGTGGGTGGTGTCTGTCCAGCTAACAGTGTTTTGAGTTTGCGGAGATTCCCCGTTCCAAGTTGTTGACTTCTCATCTGGAGAGCAGCGTGGTCTCCGTCCCCCACCCTGTTCCACGCTGCCACCTGCCTTTCCACGGCAGCGAGCGTGCTGGCCCGTCCACGGCTGCTCCTTCCCGAAGAACTGAGTGACGGAGCAGCCGAGGAGGTGTTTGTCCCTGGAAAGTAAAGAAGGGCCACGACGCAGAACAGGAGATCTCGTCTTAGTGAAGAGTGTTAACACCGTGACAGGTGTAAAATTCAGGAAGTAAGAGTGAGCCTGGAAGACAACCTAGGAAGTGGTCAGGACCTGGGTTTCCAGCGCCATGGTTTCTTCTCAGTAATTTGAAGTAATCATAGTCAGTGAAACAAAATGTCTTTTATTTACTAAAGCTGTGTTCGGTGTGAGAACTTGGGATTTGTTTTGCATCAGGTCTCAATAGAAAGCATATCCTGATATTTGTCGGAGACTTTTACCTTTTCACCTGCCTGTGTGCCGCAGAAGCCTGCGTGCTTCCTGAAGCCAAGAGCAGGCTTTCTGGTCAGTCTCCAGCAAGGCTGCTCAAAATTGTGTTTGGTGGATGGATAAAGAGGAATTCGGATTTGTAACTGAGTCACATGGTGTGTGGGGACCAGCGAGAGACTGGTGCTCAGGTGACTTCACTGTCATGTCATACGTATAATATAAAGTAATAATATATAATAATAATAATAATTAACCAAGGTGGTTCTCTGGTATGAGGCAAGCTGAAATGAGGGAGTGGTGAAGGCATGCTGGGAGGTTAGTTAAATTTGGCTGTACTTGGTCATGTGTAACCAACAGCTTAGGCTACTGTATTTGTAGCTCATTTTGCAGATTTGCATTGTCTATTCCTGTTAATCTTGATTTGCTAGTGTATTCACCAAAAGTGCCCATCCTAAGTGAACTTTGGCATGGATAGCAGAGAGCTGAGGTAGTGTAGACACAGCAGGAAGTAGGATCCAGAAGTTCTCCAGCCACGGCATTGTCCATGAAAGTGGAGAGGAACTTGGTGAGCAGAGGCCAGGAGCGTAGCCAAAACTGTGTCTCTCTATCTCCGGGAGACGTGAGTGCAGTGGTGGTATTCTTAGTGGGCATTTTAGTGACCAAGCAGCCAGACAAAAGGAAGGTCTTAGTGGTAAAGAATCACACTGCCAATGCAAAGGTGTACAGTTCAAATCCACACCCACCAGCTGCTCCCCTGGAGAAAGATGGGCACTCTCCTCCTGTGTGCTTTCCTGCCTCTGAAAACCCACTGATGGGTCAGCTGTGAGTCTGTTTTGATTTCACAGTACGCAAAACCAACAGCATATCTCAGGTCCATTTAATAACTTACACAGTACCCAGTGGAAGTTACTCTTGGAAATTCATGTTCAGAGTGTTCATTGACATTGAACTAGAACAGACCACTAACTAGGAGAGCACCTTTCAAGGGTGCCCATAGGCAGTCATCCATTCTGAAGGGCCACGACCTGGTGCAGGAGTATTTTTATGAGTCCTCCTCCCACTCTGTGACAGTCTGCAGATGGCAAAGTGTTCCTAACCTTGACATACTCTGTTTTGTGATTCTTCTGTAGGTTTATTCCAGAGCAAATGAGAAAGAACCTTGCTGCTGGTGGTTAGCCAAAGTGAGGATGATAAAGGGTGAGGTAGGAATATACTTACTTCATTTTTCCCCTTCCCCTCGTTCTGTTTTCTGAACCTCGGTACTATGGTACAGTCTGCATTTTGGTTTTAAAGTAATACCTAACTGGACTCACTCGAATGCTTTCTCTGTGTTCTGTGAGGTTCCTGTGTTTCATATAAGTTGATGAACTGTAGCTCCTTTCACCCCAGGAGTCTATTTAAAAATAACGGAAAACCTTATCACTCTTCTTTTAAAATGGTAAGAGATGACTTGTGTTTGTTTCTGCCAGTTTTACGTGATAGAGTATGCAGCATGTGATGCTACGTACAACGAAATTGTCACAATTGAACGCTTACGATCTGTGAATCCCAACAAACCTGCCACAAAGGATACTTTCCATAAGATCAAACTGGATGTGCCAGAAGATTTAAGACAAATGTGAGTTGATTTGCAACAAATGCTTAGAACTTGTACGTGACAATAACGTGGTTTTAAGAAACAATATAAATTTTAATAGAGTTCACATTGATTTTTAACTTGAGTGAACTTTGACCAAAATGGTTTGATTTGCAACAGTGAATTTTGGAGTTTTCCTCCTAGTTTTCACTCAGGTCTCGCAGCATCCCCATCTGCATGTTTGCACTTGCCTGATGGCGGGCAGCCTGTGCTTTTGTTGACTAAAAGATGAAACAAACTCATTGAACTTTTAGATTGTCAGGTTGGCAGTGCAAACTCGACGCGGATGACTCCAAATATTTGTGCTTTTCTTCCTTTTAGCTAATACTTACTGATAAGTTTTTAAGTTGAGCTAAATAAGTGGCAAAAGTTAATTCTCTACATTGTAATCATTAATCCAGAGGAATAATTATAATCCTTTAAGATAAGAGATTCTTTTTTTTTTTTGGTTTCTAATGATTTATACAACTTTGCTTGCTGAAATGGAGCAGGACCTGAAGTGATTGCTGCAGAAGGTCAAGGACTGCAGACTTCAATATGCATCGAAGCTCAACATCAATAAAACAAAGATTTTCACCAATAGGCCGATTGTCAATATCATGGCAGACGGTGAAGAGATTGAGATGTTAACAGCTTCAGCTTGCTTGGCTCCACAATCAACACTCTTGGTACCAGCAGCCAGGAAATCAAGACTGATTGTATTGGGGAAGTCTGCTGTCAGAGACCTCTCCAAAGTACTGAAGAACAACGACATCAGTCTAGAGACTAAGATGCTCCTGATCTTTGCCATAGTCTTGGAAATTATTTGCTATGCATCAGAAAGCTGGACAGTGACTAGGGATGACAGAAGGAGAGTTGATGCATTTGCGCTGTAGTGCTGGAAAGGAGTCTTGAATATACCATGGAGTGCTAAGAGAACAAACAGGTTTGTCCTGGAGAGGGTGAAACCAGGCTGCTCCTTGGAGGAAAGGATTCTGGGGCTTCATCTGACATACTTTGGACATGTTGTAAGAAGGGACTGGTCCTTGGAGAGGGACATCATGCTTGGGAGGATGGAGGGACAGTGCAATAGAGGAAGACCCTGGATGAGATGGATTGATTCAGTGACTGGGGTAGTGGGGATAGGTGTGTTTGAGACACTGAGTTTGGCACAGGATAGAACACGGTTTAGGGCTGTTGTACACAGGGTCACTGTGAGTTGCCAGCAACTTGACAGCACATAACAACACCTAGTGATTAGAGCTGTGTTGCCATTCTGTTCAAATACACTAACTGCTCCAGGAAAGAAAACTGGGAAATCTCCTCCTGAAAAATTAACTACCTCTGAAAACCCTCTGGAGGGTCAGGTATGAGTAGATTCCGACTCAGTGGTGCCCAACAACAAAATTAACATTTCAGCTTTTTCGAAGATGGTGCCGAAAGCGAAGGAGGAAGCCCCTGCCCCTCCCAAAACTGAAGCCAAAGCAAAGGCATTAAAGGCCAAGAAGGCAGTCTTGAAGGGTGTCCACAGCCAAAAAAAAAAAAATAAGATCCGCACGTCACCCACCTTCCGGCAGCCTAAGACGCTGAGACTCTGAAGGCAGCCCAAATACCCCCAGAAGAGCGCTCCCAGGAGAAATAGCTTGACCACTATGCCATCATCAAATTTCCCCTGACGACTGAGTCAGCCATGAAGAAGATAGAAGATAACTACACACTTGTGTTCACTGTGGATGTCGAGGCCAACAAGCACCAAATTAAAGAAGCTGTAAAGAAGCTCTATGACACTGATGTGGCTAAGGTCAACACTTTGGTTAGGCTTGGTGGAGAGAAGAAGTCCTATGTTTGACTTGCTCCTGTTATGATGCTTTGGATGTTGCCAACAAAATTGGGATCATCTAAACTGAGTCCAGCGGGCTAATTCTAAATATAAATTTTTCTCACACACACAAAATAACATAAAAAATTAACATTTCAGAACAAATTGTGTGTGAATGATTGAATGAAAAAGTCAGTTTGCAAACTTTTACTCAAACTAATAAAGCAAAATAAAATACTAAAGCAAAAAAATACATCAAAAAAAGTAAACTTTTAATGGAAATTGCCTATTTTTCATAAAGCAACTAGAATGAGTCTTCATTGCACTCTGTTGGCCTAGTGGGTAGAGAGTTGTGCTGCCAACCCAAAGGTGGAAAGTAGGAATCAACTGTTGTTTTTGTTTGTTCCATAGTTTTTTGAAAAGTAAATATTTTCTGATGTATTTATACCGGTAGCTGGTTACGTATCATTTATTTTTAGCTTAATAGTAGATATTCCTATTTTTTCTAGGTGTGCCAAAGAATCGGCACATAAGGACTTTAAAAAAGCAGTTGGCGCCTTTTCTGTAACCTATGATCCAGAGAGTTATCAGCTTGTCATTTTGGTGAGTGTTAGTTAGTTAGTTATGGGGTTGGTTGGGTGTTTTTGTGTATTTTTTTTTTCCTTTTGGGCATTTGTTTTGGTAGTAACATTGTCAACTTAAATTGCTCAGTCCATCAGTGAAGTCACCTCGAAGCGAGCACATATGCTGATTGACATGCACTTTCGGAGTCTACGCACCAAGTTATCCCTAATTCTGAGAAATGAAGAAGCTAGCAAACAGCTGGAGGTATGTCACTTTCCCTGACACCGCTAGTAAGACTTTCTAGAATCACCAACATGTAGTTTCAAAGTTCAAGTATAGGCAGTTTGTCATTGTCTGTTTCTTAACATTTCCTCATACTCTCTATTTTGGAAAATCAAAATTGACAATGCATAATCATACTTAAATTTTCATGCTGGAAGTTTCCAAATTAAGCAGCAGTTTGTATACCAATCCAGTTTTACTAGTTTGTCAAAGCTGCAAATAAAATGCGACAATACTTTGTCCATATAACATGTTATTATTAAAGTTCTAGAGAGTATTTAAATATCTAATCATATTCCTCTCATTATGTATGTTTATGTCTGTTTAAAAGGGTATAGAACTTCTTCATATTCTAATTGGTTGTCACTCTTTAAAACTCCTGTCTTCAGATTCCTGCCAGAGGCTATATTTCCCTAACTTGCTATTTCATCTCTTAAGGTGCATTTTACCTACTTTTATTAATCTTCCAGTAATTTTCATCACCATTCATTTACTTTCATTGATAACTATCTAGTACTTCCGTCCATTACCATAGAAATGAAATGAATTTTAGTCTGTGTGCCAACTCAGGTATTTGACTGTCAGATCCTAGGGTTCCTTTTCATTTTACATTTCATTAGAGAGAAAACATCTTGTTCAAATAGTAAAGAAAAGAAATGAGTTCCGAACTGTGTTCTTTTAAGACCCTATTAAACATCTGTTGCTTTATAACTTGATGGGGGATTGCTGAAGTATTGGAGACTGGAAGTTCCTATCTTTGCTACTTGGTCTTCCTTATGACTGTTGAGGTCTGTTTAATTGGTTTTTACTCTCATTCTTTCTTGATGTCCCTGTGTTCACAATTTTGTGGTTTCCTCAGTGATTCTCTCATAACTTTTAGGCCAGCACAGCCTCCTTACTTTCATTGTAAGTGTTACGGAAATATACATCTATGCTTCTCCTTAAACACCTAATTCTTAAAAGATCTGTTAGCATACCTTTGGCTTACTATTTATTTATCAGTGAATTCTCAATGGAAAGAATGAACCAGGTGAATGAACTAGGGCTTTAAAAAATCTTGTGAAGTCCTAGAAATATTCTGTGTATTCTACTATTCTAAACTAAAAGAATGGATATTAGACTTGTAAAATTATTTATGCTAATTTTAGTCAGTCATTCATCAGGTGTGGTGAATAATGAGAAACTAGCATGCATTTCTTTCTTCACTACTAATATTAAAGAATTTCACAGCTTCAGATAAAAATTACCATTTTCGACATGAACCACTAATATGTTTTAGTTTTCATTATTGGCATGCTAGAACTAAACATTGAATTTTGATAATATTTCTTGGAGGATATTATTCTCTGCAAGTCTTGAGTGTTGATGTAATGCAATTTTACCATCCCCGAGTACGAGTACTTGACAGTGTTGATCATTCTCGTGGACCCAGATCACAAGGTCTGACAGACTCTGGTCTCAGGTTCAGGTTTCAGACGTACGTGTGAGATAGTTTTAAATTTTTGGCATTTCTTACTTAATCCATTTAATCCATGCATCAGCAATATATATGATTCCTTTCCTTAGGCTTGGGGAAGTGGAGATAAGAGTGTCATTTTATAATGCTATTTTTTCAACAGAAGGCTATCCATAAGATAGTATCTAGTGACAGGTTACAAAAATGGCAGTTTTTAGGGGAAAAATACACTCATCCTTTAATAAAAATGAAGTGAATAAAATTTTGTATAAAGTTGGTATTTTAAAACTTTTTACAGGGAGCTCTGGTGGCCTAGTGGCAAGAACCTGTACTGCAATGCCAAAGGTACACAGTTCGAATCCACCAGATGCTCTGCTGGAGAAGGAGGGACAATTTCCTCCTGTACCAGTCAGATCTGATTTGATGGTACATGCACAAAAAATAATAAAATAAAATAAAAATAAATTAAAAAAACCCAAAAAAACCATTTTTACTTAAATAACATTGAGTCTATCAGACCCCACGAGCTGGTTTTTATTTGGAAATAGTTTATCTTCTTAATTAATTGCATTGTTGATGTCATTTATTAACTAAGGTAGCTTTGCAGATAGATAACTTAAAAGTTACCTTGGAAAGTTGTCAACAACCCTTTCCTGTTAACAAAGAGGTATCGTATAAATTGCCTAGACATCATGAACCTAAAAATGCTTGTATTGTGGCATGTATTTTCTAAAGTCTTACTAGTTTTCAACTGAGACTAACTTATAGGCCCCTGGCATCCAGGGTAAGAGAATGTACATGGCTGGTCTAAATACCGTTGAGTTAATACTCATAAATCATATTAGTCAGACTTGTGTTTTCTCTTCAGAGTTCAAGGCAATTGGCCTCCAGGTTTCATGAGCAGTTTCTTGTCCGAGAAGATCTGATGGGTCTAGCTATTGGTACACACGGTGCTAACATTCAGCAAGCTCGAAAAGTCCCCGGGGTTACTGCTATCGATCTTGATGAAGACACCTGCACATTTCATATTTACGGAGAGGTAAGTGTTCCGCAGGAGAAGTAACATGTTGTGTGCAGTTGAGATGCAAAAGGAGAACCTTTTTGGTAAATAAAAAAGTCAGTATTTCATCTGGCTCATCTTTTGTCTGAAAATATTTCCTCTTTTTTCTATAAAATTTTACTTTGTGATTTTAACAGACTTTTACAGAGAAGTTAGATTTTCATTCATTCATTCATTGTTGCATGTTTTACCCCCTTGCCCTCCCACCTCCACCCAGTTCACTTTTTAAAAATATATTCATTCATTGTTGCACAACTACCTACCCCCTCCCCAGTCGTCTTTGCAGTGATACGTCTCTTATTCTGGGCTGTTGTCATATAGACAGTTCTTTCTTTCATTTGTTCAAATGCAATGTTCATTATCTGTTCACTCTTACCCTATTGTCCTCCCAACCCCCTATGTCAGGCCTGCTTTATAACAGTGGTGCTATGCAGTATTTGTCCTTTTGTGACTGAGATATTTCACTCAGCATGATGTGCTCCAAGGTCCCCCATGTTACGTAATGTTTTACAAGTTCATTGGTTTTCAGTGCTCTAGAGTATTCTATTGTATGAACATACTGCACTTATTCTGTATATTCATTTGTTGATGAGCCTTCTTTTTTCATTAGGATCAAGATGCAGTGAAAAAGGCTAGAAGCTTTCTTGAATTTGCTGAAGATGTCATCCAAGTTCCAAGAAACTTAGTAGGTGAGTCACAAATTGCTGCTGATTTGGACTACAAAAACTAAGTAAACCTGGTAGTGTTGGTAGAATCCAAGTTTCTTTCTCCAGAGGACCCATGGCATTGAAGTTTCATCTTTGCTGTGTAGTCTGTTGGCTGTAGTATATAGAAAGTGCTTGGTAGATGTAATGCTCAAAGATTGATTGTTGTTATGTGCCATCTAGTTGCCTGTGGCTTCTAGCAATCCATGTACAATTGCTCTGAAGTCTGCCCTGTCCTGAGCCAGGTTCACTGACTCTGACACACCTCCCCCTTGCCCCTGTTACAGTGTCAATCCATCCCATCCATGGTCTTCCTCTCCTGCACTGTCCCTCCACTCTTCCAAGCATGATGCTTTCTCTAAGGTCTGGTCACTCCTGGCCATGTTCCCAAAGCATTAGAGACAGAGCCTCAAGATCCTAGCCTCAACGGAGGAACTTGGTTTCACTCTCTCTAAATCAGACCTGCTTGTTCTCTTGGCATCCACGGTATGTTGAAGACTCTTCTCCAGCACCATAACGCAAAGGCATCAGTGATTGTTCTGTCATCTTTACTCATTGTCAGGGTGATTAGTGATGTACTTTGCATAACCTCTTGCTATATTCATACAGGTTTTAAAATAGAATAAGTTTCAGAATGCCTTTTATTTGGACACTCTATCCTTTGGACTGTGTTGGTATCTGACCTCTAATGGAACTGCAAGGACCCTTGATGATGGCACCAAGAGTTACATTCTCAACTACTAGCTCAAAGGTTGGCAACTTGAAGACACTTGGCAGTTCCAAAAGAGGAAAGCCTGATGATCTCTTGTGAAGCCAAGAGCCATGAAGACGAGTTCTGTTCTGTCCCATGGAGGTGCTGAGTTAGAAACAACTGGAAGGCACTAGACAGTAGCAGTGATGATGATGTTAATAACTGTAAAAGAATGCCTTTCTTAATTTTCAAAATCTGAATACAGATTTAAACCCATTGCCATTGAATTGGATTCACAGCAACCCTCTAGAACAGAGCAGAACTGCCACATAGGGTATTCCAGTCTCTCTTATCATCCTCTCAGAAGCAGATTCCTGCACCATTTTTCCAAAGCGTGGCAAGAGAGTTCTGTTCATTGACCTTTGGTTAGTAGTTAAGCTCTTAACCATTGCACCCCAGAAATGGCGGACATAATTCCTCAAGTCTGGTAAAAATTAGAAGTAATTCTCGGTGCACCGTCGGCAGTCTGCACCGGGATGTTATATCTGTACTGAGTCCACTGCTGCTGAGGGGCCTGTTGGGCCCAGCCTGGCCGGTCCTGGTGCCGTGCCCCCAGGTCCACTCAAAGTCGGCGCGGGAGAAGGTCTGCATCATCAGGCTCACTGCCTGCTTCATCTGTTTCCTTGTGCCGCCGGCCTGGGCCCTGTCACACCTGGAGAGCTACAGGAAGCAGGAATGAAGAGGACCGTCCTCTCGCGCCCTGTGTCCTGACCACCCCGGGACCATCTAATCATGTTCCTGCATTCCTGGCTGCACAGCCCCAAATCATGCCCTTCACTTACCTCTCCTTCACTCATAACCTCTTGATGTCTCCATGGTGACATCCTCAGACCAGATAGAAGGCCCTGCTTGGGGGTCCCAACTTGTAATAATAAAACATACTGGCGAGCTCTGGTGGCCTAGTGGTAGGAAACTGCACTGCAATCCCAGAGGTGCCCGGTTCAAATCCACCAGATGCTCTGCTGAAGAAGGAGGAACAATCGCCTCCTGTACCAGTCAGATCCAATTTGACGGTACACATATAAAAAAAAATAATAATAATAAAACATACTTAAATCTTAAAAAAAAAGAAGAGAAGTAATTCTAAATGTCTCTGGGAGTTTCAGCTAAGTGAAAGGTAATTCCTTGACTTTAGTTAGTACTCTTAGTGAGGCACTCTCATAGGTGAGGAATTGTATTACCAGTGTAATGGTACATGGTTCAAATCCACCAGCCCCTCTGTGGGAGAAAGATGGGCTTTCTCTGGTGTGAGTTACTGCCTCTGAAAACCTGCTGGGGGGGGGTCTGCTATGGGTTGGTTCTTACTTGATCATAAACAACAACAATGTCACCAGTGCTTCCAAATGCTGCAGATTTCTTTGATGGACTGTAACAAAACCAAGTATGGTTTTATCAAGAACACTATATTTTTAGTTCATCAGTAGACTTGGGATGTATTAGGGGTACATTTTTTAATCTTTTGAACTTGAACATGACTGAGGATAAAAAGTAATAAGTGTACAATAGAAAACTGACAGAATAATCCTTCATTTCAGTCCACCTTAATGTGCTATTTGTTTTTTGCCAACATAGAATTTTAAATTTCCTCTTGTGCCGTGACAAACACAAGGAACTGTGTATTTTCCTCTGAGAAAATTTGTTTCATTGAGGATGAAGTGAAAATACTAGAGACCTAATCAAGTCTTAGCTTCGCTGTATGCTGTATTTAGCTGGCAGCTGTCCCTGTGATGTTTGGAGGTGACTCTCATGTCACTTACAGGCGTCCAAAATGTATGGAGGGCAAGTATTGATCTCTCCCTGTTCAAGACCAAGGAAAGGGAAGAAAAGCAAAGATGCATGGGAACGATGCAGAGAACCACCGTAAACTTGAAGCTCTGTGACCCTGACCCTGGAAGAAGTAGAATGTCTCATGCCTGCTGCTGACCGCTCTGAAAGGGATCACAGCAGTTGGTCCTAGACAGAAGTGGAGGGAAATGGGGATGGAACTCAGAAACATAAGGATGGTTTGGCTTGCTCTGCTAAAAGCCAATGACACCCTCACCATGGTGACTTAATCACACCTTGACAGTGGAGCAGAACCCACCCATATTGCTTAACTTTTAGCCAGGCAGTTGGTGTTATGTGCCAGTGAGTCAACTACAAATCATAGTGACCCTGCGAACAACCGCTCTGAACTCTGCCCTGTCTTGAGCCAATCTCAGTGTCTCTGACATACCTGCTTCCCATTGTCACTATCACCGAGTCAGCACAGGTCTCATCCGGGGTCTGTCTTTACTGTGCAGACCCTCTCCCCTTCCCAGTGTGATGTTCTTCTCCAAAGACTGGTTTCTCCTGGCAACAGGCCCAGAACATGTGTCATAGAGTTTGAAAATTCTTGCCTCCAAGGAGAAACTTGGTTTCACCCTCTCTGGGACAGACCTGTTTGTTCTCTTGGCAGTCCATCGTATGTTCAGTCCACTTCTCCAGCACCACCACTCAAAGGCCTTGATTCTTCTTTATCCTTAGTCATTGTCCAGCTCTCTGATCCGTAGCAAGCAATTGAGAAGACCAGGGCCTTGGTGACAGAATTGAAGTGGAGACAGAATGATGAATTTTTATATAGTCAAATGATTTATTCATGGCAAATATCTTTTACAAAAAAATAAAAAGACAACTGTACACATGGACCTCACCTAATACAGCTTAGGGCAGAGTGATTTCTCTCAGGACAGTGAAGTGGTGAATGATTTATTTTCTTATGTTAATACTTCTGAAGCAATTACATGCTTTGAAAAGTTATTTTAAATTCCAGAAATTCTTATAAAAACATGAGAACCCTTAGCAGTGGACCAAGTGTAGTGCTGCTAGCCAGAGACTAACAGTTCAAGCCTGCCAGCTGCTTCCCGAGAGAACGATGAGACGGTCTAATTATGTGACAATAAAGCCTGGGAGACCCCAGGGGCGGTTGCACTGTGTCCCGCAGGGCAGCCAAAGCTTGTAAGCACTCTGGCACTGTGACTTAGGCGTTCGGTTTTTTTATTTACTAAATAGATAGAACTTATCAGATTCACTAAGTAATAGTGGAGACAGATGCTAAGAGCTTGGACTTACACTTTTTTAGTAATTTTGTCACCTTGGGCAGGTGCTTTAGGACCTCTGACATTTCCCGGCATCATAGCTGCCGTAGTTTGAGTTGATGACAACCTGACAAACAGCAGATTGGAACTTGCCCTGTACTGTATCAGTCTCCCGATCGTGAGCCCATTGTTACAGTCGCTGTGTCAGTCCAGCTTGTTGCAAGTCTTCAGCTCTTTCTCTAACCCTCCACCTTTCCCAGCGTGAGGCCTCTCTCCAGGGACTGGTCCCGCCTGAAAAATATACTCAAAAGTATGAGAAATGACGTTTCCCCATCCTTGCCTCTGTGGAGCACCCTAATTGCACTTCCCCCATGAAGTGCAACATGACTGACATGTTTCTTCTCTTAGTAGTCCTTGGGACTCTAGTGACCTCTAGTGATAAGGAGTTTGACTGCTAACCCAAAGATAAGTGGTTCTAATCACCAGTTGCTCTGCCAGGGAAAGATGGGTAGCCTCCTCTTGTGTAGTAAAGAGCCTTTGAAAACCCACTAAAGGGCCAGCAGTGGTTTCTGATTTGACAGCACATAACAGTAAAAACAAATAGGATATTCAATGTCCAATTCCTAAATCACATGCCTCAGGAAACTCTATGAACTTGGAGAAATGACGATAGTTACGGAAAGGCATTAGATCTTTTGTTCATAGAGTAGCTATGAGTTGCACTCGACTAGACGGCAGTCAGCAACAGCCACCACCACCACTCAAAGACATCAATAATAATTCTGTCATCCTTATTCTTTGTCTGACTTCCAAATGCATGTTGTTGTTATGTGCCATCAAGTCGCCTGTGACTCATAGCAACCCTATGTACAACAGCCCTAAACCCTGCTCTATCCTGTGTCAATCTTATTTTCTCTGACGCCCTCATTACCTCAGTCACTGAATCAGTCCATCTCATCAAGGGTCTTCCTCTCCTGCGCTGACCCTTGACCCTCCCAAGCATGACGTCCCTTTCCAAGGACTGGTCCCTCCTTGCAACATGTCCAAAGTATGCCAGATGAAGCGTCAGAATCTTTGCCCCCAAGGAGCAGCCTGGCTTCACCCTCTCCAGGACGAACCTGTTTGTTCTTCTAGCAGTCCAACACTCTTCTCCAGCACCACAGCTCAAAGGCATCACCCCTCCTTCTATCCTCCCTAGTTACTGTCCAGCTTTCCAATGTATAGCAAGCAATTGCAAAGACCATTGCCTGGATTAGGCGCACCTTAATCTCCAGACTGACATTGTCAGGTATACATTGAGTCTATTATCATTGCTCTTTAGCACTTTGGAGAGGTCCTTGATAGAAGATTTCCCCTGTGCAAGACGTCTTTTGAGTCCTTGATTGCTATTACCCTAGGTGTTGATGGTTGATGCCACGAAATTGAAATCATTGATGGTTGAATCTTTCCCCACACTTGCTACAGAATATCAAAAACTATAGCCTTGAATAGGAATCACCAGCATCAAGAAAACAGAAATCCTCACCACTGGACCAATAGCCTGCATCATGATAGTAAAATGACCGAAAGGCATAGTAGAAGATTTTGGAAAGGTTAATTATTTCATCTTTATTTAAAAAAATTCCATGTAGTTCAGCAGAGTAGAAATGCAATAAACTCTTGGTTGGAGTTTGGAACAAACTATAATATAGAGTTAGATTATTTGGTATCGGAATACATTTTACCTATCGCTTTTAATGAAAAGAAGATCATCCCATAAGCTTCCTTCTTACCCAAAAACTTGTGGAAATTTCTGTAGCCAGCTGTTTTGGGTCTATTTAGGAAAACAGAACCATGGGATTTTATCTTCTCTAAGCCGTGGATGTGCTCTCCAAGTTGTGCCAAGAAATCTGGAGAACAACCACTTGGCCAACTGACTGGAAGAGGTCTATATTTGTTCCCATCCCAAAGAAGGGCGACCCAACTGAGTGTGGAAACTACAGAACAATGTCACTGATTTCACATGCAAGCAAGATTCTACTGAAGATTATCCAAAACCGACTGGAACAGTACATCAGCAGAGAACTGCCAGAAGTCCAGGCTGGGTTTAGAAGGGGTCACGGTACTAGGGATATTGTAGCTGATGTTAGATGGATCTTGGCTGAAAGCAGAGAATACCAGAAGAATGTCTATCTGTGTTTCATTGATTATGCAAAGGCATTTGACTGTGTGGATCATAACAAACTGTGGCTGACTCTGAGAAGAATGGGAATCCCAGAACATTTAATCGTGCTAATACGAAACCTATACTTGGACCAAGAGGCAGTCGTCAGAACAGAGCAGGGCAACACTGCATGGTTCAGAATTGGGAAGGGTGTACGCCAGGGATGTGTCCTATCTCCATACCTTTTCAACCTGTATGCAGAGCAGATTATCCGAGAGGCTGGGCTCTATGAGGAAAATTGTGGCATCAGGATTGCTGGAAGGTCTATTAACAATCTCCGTTATGCAGATGACACAACCCTGCTTGCTGAAACTGAGGAGGACCTCATGCACTTGCTGTGAAGGGTCAAGGACTGCAGCCTTCAGTATGGACTGAGGCTCAATGTCAAGAAGACAAAGATTCTCGCCACTGGACCAATTGGCAGCGTCAGGATGGATGACGAAGAGATTGAGATTGTTCACAGCTTCAGTTTGCTCGGCTCCACAGTCAACACTCTTGGCACCAGCAGTCAGGAAATCAAAAAGCGTATCGCGATGGGAAAGTCTGCTGTTAAGGACCTCTCTAAGGCCCTCAGGAGCAACGGTGTCTCTCTGGAGACTAAGGTGCGCCTGATACAGGCCATGGTCTTTGCAATCACTTGTTATGCATCAGAGAGCTGGACAACGACTAGGGAGGACAGAAGGAGAATTGACGCCTTTGAGCTGTGGTGCTGGAGAAGAGTATTGAATGTACCATGGACTGCCAATAAAACATACTCAGCCCTAGACCCTCCATGGGGTGGGTCAGCTCTGTTGGAGACATTCTCTGGGAATTGGAATTGACTCAGTGGCATTAGGTTTGATTTTATGGTTTTCTTGATTTGGGGTTTGAAACTTTATATAATCAGTTTGATATTCGCGCGCTTGCGCGCGCGCGCGCACGTGTGTGTGTGTGTGTGTGTGTGTGTGTAAGAGAAAATGCGATAATGGGGCATACTTCCTGATTTGAGATATATTATTTTCAAAATCAAACATGAATTATTCATTTCTTTAGGCAAAGTAATAGGAAAAAATGGAAAACTGATTCAAGAGATTGTGGACAAGTCAGGAGTTGTAAGAGTGAGAATTGAGGCCGAAAATGAAAAAAATGTTCCACAAGAAGAGGTATGTTTATAGTGCATATGTTTCTGGTTTGTCTGGGAAAGGGGAAGTTGTTCTGATTGTTTTGCCATTTGTGTCTGAAACCTCTGAGGTGCAGGTAACACTGAGCGTATGAACTCTTCTGGCGCCTCTTGTTGGCAGTTGGGCTTGGTTCCTTTACACCGTGCAGGTTTTACTGCCTAATCTGTAAAATGAGGAGTGACATTTTTTAATAGGCAGTCTACACCATTGAGTCAGGCATTGTGACGATTTCATGGATACATATCTGTTAAAGCACCTTCTCAGATGTGACCCCCTGCTCACAAACACAGAATTGAGGTGCTGCCTTTCATGCTTCGTCTCTTTGACTTGAAGACTTGGAGTCGGTGTATTTACTCTGTGTTCCACATTATCAGCTGACTTGGCAGCTCTTTCCTGTGGTTTTCATCTTTCAACTTTAAAACCTCACCTTTATCTTCCTGCATGTGGTTTGGGGAAGCTGCTTTTCACGTTCTGTGTGGAGTTGTGCAGTGAGGGATGTGTTTAAAATAATGTCTCAAAAGTGCCATCATTTTCACATACTGTCTAGACTTTTATAAAAAATCTTTTAATGGAGGGAGCTCTGGTGGCCTTGACACGAAGCTGCACTGCAGTCCCAGAGATAACGTGGTTCAAATCCACCAGATGCTTTACTGTAGAAGGAGGGATAATCTCCTCCTGTACCAGTCAGATCCGATTTGACGGTACACACAAAAAATAATAAAATTTAAAAAAGTTAAGTCTTTTAATGGAAAAGAAATCTGGGAAAGGGGAGAGAAGGGTTCCTGGTATTTTTTCATTCTCTTAATGTTATCTTCTAAAGCCGTTTATAGTAACTTATATTAAGTCAAAATATGTTTAATGACACAATGAAGATGGCTTTATGACTTCTTAAAAATTTTTCTTTTGTGTTTCACAAAGGAGATTATTCCACCAAATTCCCTATCTTCCAATAATTCAAGGGTTGGACCTAATCCTTCTGAAGAAAAGAAACACTTAGATATAAAGGAAAACAGCGCCCATTTTCCACAACCCAACAGTACAAAAGTCCAGAGGGTAAGAACTACTTGTCCCTGTAAATGAAAAGAAACATGCCGTGTTGACCTTAGATGCTGCAGTAGATGTTTTGGGTGTCTTCTCTGGTTAGACTTCTAGACTACTCCTGTGCTTCCCCACCAATTCTCATTGTTAGCTTACACCTTCCGTTGTCCCCAGAGACACAGTTTATTCCGGAAACATGAAATGAGGGGTTGCAGTTAATGTTTACAGTTTTTCTTTTGAGGGTGGCCTTGGATGTTTTAATGCTGATACCACTTGAAATTTTGCAGGTGTAGTATTTCAGACTACCCTCTGTTAGATTCAGCTGGTACAACTTAAAGCCGTGTATAAGAAACAGATTTTCCTTATTTGGACTAACCTAAATATTTAAAAATGCGTTTAGCAGTGCTACAGTGAAAGACCTGCATCCAGGCTTCTGTGTATCATTTGTTCTAGTTACTGAGATCCTTTGCATTCCTTATACTGAGTTAGGTGGTAATGATTTCATCAGTTATAAAAGGGGAATCCCAGAAACCAGAACGTTAGGTTTGCCAGGTAGGAAAACTTTCCTTGGAAAGTACATTTTCGTTTTCTATTTTGATGTTGATTCTCCTTATTAAGAAAGACTGCACCCATCAGGGCTGGAGGATGTTGACAGAGTGCTTGTGGATATGTGTGTCCCTGACCTTGCTTCTCTGTCCTTCATGTTGTCTGTAAGGCCCTTGGAATCTCCTCCTCTGGCATTTCTCCCTGCTCTCTGACTTACACTCTAAATGCTCGAGCCATCCTGAAGTGTTGAAAGTTCTCGGAACACTTTTTAGACTCTGTTGCTTTGTGTGCCTAGAATACTTTCTGCTCTTCGCGTAGCTGCCTTCAGCTTGCCACCTGTGCTCTGAACTGCCTCCTTGCAAAGCTTTTGTGTGTAGCTGCCGCAGGCGCTCAGCTCTCTGCAAGCATAGCCCTTTTTTTTTTTTTTATATCGCCCTACACCTTGTCAGTTCCTTGAGGGCTGGGCCCTAATTGTTAATACTGCCTGGTCTATGAGAGAACTTTTTTCTTTTTGAGAGAACTTTTAATGGGAGAAATACTATGACTTACAAGAGATTAGAAGGAAACAAAGAGGAAGTTGATTAGCTATTCTTCTTTGTTAGCAGCCCCATTGTCTTCCCAGAAGCAGAATATCCCTTTCCTTGCAGCCATATTGAAGGCACCATTCTTTCTGTCCTTTGACTTCACTGTTGTTTTTTATATGCAGGTGCATTAACCATACGCGTCAATCAGTGTGACACTTAAGTTACACAGCACTTTGGCCAAGTTGTAAGAGAAAATGTTTCTAAAAGATTTACTCCTGAGTTTACGTTACTAAATCTGTGAAATAAAATTTGGAAAATATTTTGGCCATGTTTGGCCAGAGTGAAGCATGTTGCTTTTCATCATACCTTGTTTTGGGAAATAGTATGTTTAACTTCTTTGTAACAAAATCAGTTGGAATAAACCTAGAGCTGGAGGTGATACTTTTTATAAAAGATTTCTGATTCATAGGCTTGAATATTTCTAAAAGTCGTGTACTCTTTGATGTTCGGAAAGGGAAAAAAAATGAAGATGACATGGGTTCTCAGTAGCCACCTCCTTCTTGAGGAGGCTGCAGCTACTCAGAGGATGTGTCTGACCTACCAGCTGAGAGTCAGTCTGGAAACGGAATTTCCTGATTTTTCAATTTTGTTCTCCATCACTGGCCAAGTTAATGTGAAAAGCAAAAGAAAAACGTGAACCAGCCCTTTAACCTTTTTAAAAATTCTGTGTACCGGAAGCAGACAGGCAAAAGTATTAGTAGCCATGCTTATCAAATGAAGGCTCTTTTATCTAAAGAGGGATCCTTTACTCAAAGGAGGTCTGCCTTGTCACACCTTTTAACTTGGTCCTAGAATTTATGTATATTCATCAAAACTACTGTATGCTTTTTATCAAATATTTGTGGATAATGCTTTGTGTATGCTTTTCTGGACTCACTTGTGGATAAAGCATTGTATACTTTTGAATCACTTGTGGATATCTGTAAGAATGTGTGTTTCTTTGGCCGCAGAATGTTGAGCTGCTCTGGACTTTGAACGTCTGTCATAATTGCTTTACAACTCTAGCTAGCCTTCCAAGTAACTTGTTATAAGACATTGGGTGGGATTTTTTCTGATTTATATTGATGAGTCAGAACATTTTAGTACATTTTTAAAAAAAATCTACCCTTTATAACATGCCTCTAGAAACTCTAAGAACTTTGATAAATGATGATAGTTATAAAAAGTCTTCAAGGCTTTTGTTCATAGGGTCGCTATGAGTTGTGCTTGACTTGATGGTTGTCAACAACAACCCTTCATAAAACTTGCATTTCAGTTCAACTTATATGGGGGCTTGCCAGTTTATGTGCTCATGGAGGTGCCTAGGGTCTTTTTTTTTTTACAGATTAATTCTTCAGCACATTCCTTTTTTTATTGTGGTTTTGTTTTTTGTACCATATTGACTTGATTAGGAAAATCAGCTTTGTCTTTACTTCTGTGTCTTTCATATGTAATTCTGATTGTCTTTGAAAAGATTTTATTCTAGATGAAAATCTATGCCTTAGAGCCATTTTATGTATTAATTTTGTTTGTGTAGCTCATTTTAAAGCTTATATAATTTGAGTTAAATAATTTGTGATTTTGCCAACATTTACTAGTAGTCGTTAAACCATAATAACCAGGTTGCTTTATTGGTCTGTCTTTATCATAGTAGTTGTCTAAAATATGGGAATGATTTTTGTTTTCATTTGTTGATTGACCTCCCCCTACCCCACGATACATTTGTGTTCCTACCGTTTGCTGTACCTTGTGCTAGGAATTTAGTCAGTATTTACATTGCTCAGACTAACCCGTCATTGATTCTGTAGAATCATTGTTGCAATTTTTTTTTTCAGGGTATGGTACCATTTGTTTTTGTGGGCACAAAGGACAGCATTGCTAATGCCACTGTTCTTTTGGATTATCACCTGAACTATTTAAAGGTGAGGACAGAAAGAACTTTTAACTTCTAATCCTTTTGTACTAAAATGTAAAAAAAGATTGTATAGTAAATTGTAAAGCAATTAGGACTCGTTCTAATCGAAAAGAGAATACTTGTATAAAAGGCAGTAGGGAAAATACTTGGTACAGTTTATATTCTTTGTGAAAACATAAGTCATTTTTCCATCATAGTAAATTTAAGGACTAGTATCCCATTTTTGAATAAATTCCCTTATTTGTAGCTATAATTGTCTTGCCTTCAATTTAGGTAATCCTGTGGTAAACTTTTAATCCAGTTGATTTAACTTTTGTGAGTTTACCCCACCCCTAAAACCAGCTTCTGTTCAGTACTTACCTTGGGTTGTCCCTTTTATGTTTCCTTAGAGTTTCATAAGAAAATCCCAGTGTTTGATGATGTCTTCTGTTTAAATATTTTCCCTTTGTCTTTTTTGTAAATGCTCACTTTAGTGCTTCAGTGATGCCTCCTCTAGATCGCAAACTAGAAAGCAGGAGCCCAGAGGTGACACGGTGTGCTGAGTGCAGAGGTTGGCCGTCCTCTGGTTTGCTTCTAGTGTCTGTTTTTACCTTGAACTAAGTATTAAGAATTTCTACAAGTCACTCCCCTAGATCCCATGATTTTGAATATTCCTTTTGCCCAAAATGTTTTCTAAAGAAATGAAATAAAATGAAGATCTTTACTTCTATTATTGTTAGCATCTATCTATAAGTATCAAAACTATGGAGTGTAGCTTGTATTAAATGTTAGGTGCTGTAGAGTCGAGTATGACTCAGCAACCCTATGAACAAAAGATCTGAACCCTGTTCTATCCTGAGCCGTCCTCACACTTCCTGACACTCAAGAGCCCATTTCGGCAGTCACTGTGTCAGTCCACCTGGTTGAAGGTCTTTCTCTCCAACATGTCCCTCTTCAAGAAATAGCCCCTCCAACATGCCTGAAGTATGTGAGGTGAAGCCTCATCATTCTTCTCTCCAAAGAGCACTCCAGCTGCACCCTCTCCAAGACACACCTGTTTGTTCTCTTGGCCGTCCATGGGATGTTCAGTGCTCTTCTCCAACACCACAGCTCAAAGGCGTCAATTCTTCTGTCATCTGCATTCGTTCCCTAGCTCTCAGATGCATAGCAAGTGATGGGAAACACATTCTAAAAAATAATACAATTTGTGGTGCTAATTTAAGATTTTGCTTTTTCTGATACCAGTAAGAGTGAAATAAAAAAAAAAGGGAGGACTAGTAGGGCATTCCATTAATTTTCATGATTGTCAGTAACTAAACCTGTCAAGGTTTCAGTTAGCAAAATTTGCACCAATAGGATACCCGTTAATTTGTGTATTCCTTTTTCTTTAGAGTGTGGGTTTTGTTTTGTTTTTTAATTATGTGTGTGTGTGTGTGTGTGTGTGTGTATACACCGTCAAATCAGATCTGATTGGTACAGGAGGAGATTGTCCCTCCTTCCCTGGCAGAGCATCTGGTGGATTCGAACGTGCGCCTCTGGGATTGCAATGCAGCTTCTTGCCACTGGGCCACCAGAGCTCCCCGGAGTGTGTTTTTTAATATAACCTATGGTATGTTTTTTTGGGGGGGTTTCATATTAGCTTAGGAAAGTTCAGTGAGTTAGGGATCCATTATATCAAAATGGATGTCCTTTTGACTGATCCTCTTTATTGATCCCTTCATTTATTCTTTACAGTTGACTCTTTGGCTGTCAGTAGCTCTTGCTACTCTTCTCATTACCAGATCTTCCCTGATCAGGCCTGGCATCTCTCACTAAAAAGTGACTGCTTTGCCCCAATGGAATAACCTGAACTTCCACTTGGGTTTGCCAGATACGCTCTGCAATCCCCAAAGTGCATAACTGGAGCTACCTACTGCTCCATGGAAGCAGGATGAGTAGTCGGCTACCTCTGAATACCTGCGGGAGGGTCAGCTATGGGCCGGTGGCACATTACCACCACCACCACCGTTTGGTTTTGCAAAATAAGCTCATATATTAGCTTAAACTCTACCTTTGGAGCAAGGCACTCACTGAGCTGCAGCCTGTCCTTTGCCCTTTGTAAGACAGAAATTGTGAGTCAAAGCTTAGGTGAAGCTCCCCTTACTTGACCTTTTTTTTCCCCAGAAGCTGCCACCACCAAGAGTTTGGGAAGTTAGCTTTACAGAGTCTTCTCCAATTACTGTTCACATAGGTAGTCCCTACCACAGTTCTGTTTGACTGGTGCTACCCAAGCTCGGCACTGGCCATATAGTCCAGTAAATTGGGATTTAGTGTGAGCTGGAAGGACACAACTTCGAAGTGGAGTTCTCTTTGGAATTGTCAGAACTTGACATACTGCAAGCACTGAGTGTTGATGGCCTTAAGTTCACACTGTTTGTCATACTTATTCTAGGGATCATAGTCCTAAAGACATTTTCAGGATAAAATGTTCTTCTGTCAGCAGTTAAATTTATTTTGGCCCCCTTCATAAAAGGAGTATCAACATTTCCAGCTAATTGAAAAGAATTGTTCCTAGTTGCCTAATCACACCCAGAGACCTTAGTGTTCAGGGAGTCCTCAGGTTGGGAATGGCATTTTGGACCAACACCATAAAGTCTATTGTCTTAAGAAATCATGTGAAGTTCAGAATGGGTGCCACTTTGGAACTAGCAGGAGAACATTACTGCATCATTATGTTAATCAGGTATCATTATGTTAAAGATGTCTTAGAACAGTTGGAAATGTTTCTTCCTATATAGAAAGGTACACTTCTGGGGAGCTCTGGTGGCCTAGTGGCAAGAAGCTGCAACTACAATCCCAGAGGTGCACGGTTCGAATCCACCAGATGCTCTGCCGGGGAAGGAGGGGCAATCTCCTCCTGTACCAGTCAGATCTGATTTGACGGTACACGCACAAAAAAATAATAAAAAAAAAAAATAAAAAAAAAATTTAGAAAGGTACACTTCTATACTAAGACAAATGTTTAACTAACAGATCTTAGGTACAAACTATAGTTAACTGGTTCATTTTCGATAAAATTAGAGTCAGAGACAGATTTAGGAATAGAACTTGAAATCTGGGCACTTCCTGCACGTTCTTTAAAAACAGTATGGTCCAGACTTAGTGTTTTGTAAGTAAAGATATCTGTCAAATCTATTAATTATGATTATTTACATTGTGTGATTTTTAAGGTTAGCTAGTTAAACTTTAAATGTCATTGATCTGTATCCATACGTTTTAGAGTTGTTCTAATATCTTCTCATCAAAAAGTCCCAAGAGTGTCTCTCTGCCCTAGTAACCAAAGAGTTGGATAATAGTATAAAATAAAAAAGCTGTACATTTTATTCAATATTATTTTAATGCTGAGTGGTTTTTGCTGTATCTCTAATTTGAGACTTCAGAAATCTGTTATTTATAGCAATTTTCTTTGTAAGGAAACCTTTTCCATTTCCTGATAAATCTGTGTAACAGTGTTTACTGTAAATTTAGAATGAAATTGAATTCTTTCCAGTATGCTTTTTATCTGGTAAAAAAGAGAAAGGTATTAAATAAAAAATGTCAAATTATTTTTACTGTTATCTTGTATATTTTAAATAGGAAGTAGACCAGTTGCGTTTGGAGAGATTACAAATTGATGAGCAGTTGCGACAGATTGGAGCTAGTTCTAGACCACCACCAAATCGTACAGATAAGGACAAAGGCTATGTGACTGATGATGGTCAAGGAATGGGTCGAGGTAGTAGACCTTACAGAAATAGGGGGCACGGCAGACGCGGTCCTGGATATACTTCAGGTACAAACTAAGCATTTTCCTCAGTTACTTTATCTGTTCCTAGATTTAATAGCTGCTATTCTCTAATATTCACCAGAACCCCTTTGTAACAGTTTCTCATTTCGTGATTTCTGATTCACAGTGGGTCAAATCTTGGTGCAAGAAGCATCTCTAGTCAAAGCCTGTTAATGACACATGTAGCTCTCAAGGCAGGTGTGAGTTCTGTCCATGTTCTCATGGGAGATGACTCTTTGAGCCCTTGTGTGTTGATGACCACCTTCAGGCTGCTCCTGATTGCCCTGCTCTAGAGAGCACCCTGTCCTGTGTGTGTACTGTGGCTCTTTCGTAGTCAGGCATGTGCTGGTCACACTCGCTGGAGGACTGTGTAAATCAAGGACCCGCATCCTGTGGCTCTCAAGATGATTCTGAGTGCAAGTCAGCCCGAGGGACAGCCAAGGTGAAGGCAGGGCTTCTCTTTGCCTCCCCAGCTCTGGGCCAGTGCTGCTTTTGTCTCTCCTAACACCTTCTCTCTGACCCCGCCACCCTGCCAGTGCTGCTGTCTTCTTACCCAGTCATGTATCAGCTATGCAACTTCTACAAATATTTGCCTTTCAAAAGGGAACACTTCAAGATCCACAGGAATGAAGCTGTAGTGATGAAGCTGTAATTGGTCGTTAGCTCCAACAAAGGAAGAGAGGGAGGTAGCAGAGTTGATATTCTGGAGCCGGACACCAGATCCCTGCTCCTAAGGCCAACCTTGATCAGAACCTCTGCACCTGCTCTATTTGTACATGAATTCCACACTTGGGAGCTCTTTCCCATACTCTCACTAGCTCCTAAGTCATTGGTCTTCTTAGACACCATGAGCCTGTTTGTAGTCGTGTAGCCTTTATTCACAGTCACTTGTTCCCCTGGGAGTGGGAAGGAAAGTGGTGGACCAAGCCTTAGACAGTCATGTTCCCCTAAAGCTAGGCCAGGTGGGTGAACTCCCTGCACCCCCAAGAGACCTTTCCTTGAGACAGGTGCCATGTGGCCTTATTTGCCATTCTCCTAGCGTTGACCAGAAAGTGCATATTCTCTTTGCCCTGAGCCAAGCACATTGAAAGGAGCTCTCTTTATTGAGATGCTGTTGACAAGGTGTTGCGTTTAACTGGAGTAGACAGGAGCACAGCTGTTTAATGGTGTGGCACACACAGGTTTGAACTTAGGTGGCTAATAAGATAGTTTTTATTTTTTAAATAAGAACCAAAAAGGTTTATAATCAAGATGATCTCATACCTTGAAAGCCCTTCGTTTTGAATTTAAAAGTATTTGTTTTACAAAGTGCAAGTTGGTAGTACTCCTTGATGGGCTTATTTCTAAGTTGGGATAAGTGTTGGATTACCCCTGAAACGACTCTGGAAGCTTCTGTTAACCTAAATTTTTTTTAAGTCGGACAATGGTATATAACTTTTAACTCTCGATAGGAACTAATTCTGAAGCATCAAATGCTTCTGAAACAGAATCTGACCACAGAGACGAACTCAGTGATTGGTCATTAGCTCCAACAGAGGAAGAGAGGGAGAACTTTCTGCGCAGAGGAGACGGGCGACGGCGGGGCGGCGGAGGAAGAGGACAGGGAGGACGAGGGCGTGGAGGAGGCTTCAAAGGTACAGCAACTCTCATTGCTTACAAAATAGAGGTGAATATGAACCAGCTGATGCTCCACGATCACCTGCTAGTTTATTTAGCACAGTATAACTGGAACCTGTTGATCACGTTTTCAGTTCTTTGGCAGAAATATATAGAGACTGTGCATTGCAAAATCAGTAACTGTTGGACCTTTTCTACATGTTGCCATAGGAAACGACGATCACCCTCGAACGGATAATCGTCCACGCAACCCAAGGGAGGCTAAAGGAAGAACAGCAGATGGAACCCTTCAGGTAAACCTGCAGGCTTCTCCTCATCTCAGCTGTTGGAATATACTAGGTTGAGATTTGAAAACATGGTGAAGGATGATACATTTGGTATCTCTGAACTGTTTCCCCTCAACATTACAGTTGTGGGTGATATTAGTCCTCCTTGATAAGTATACACATGCCAGGATGTTTCTGGAGACACTGTGGTTTAGGTTTTTGTGAAGACTTTGACCACCACATTGTGATTTTAAGATCAATACCACACTGGTGGTTTCCCAGGCGGATCTTGGGTGTACTGAGCCTTTTCTCTTCGTGGACATGAAGGGCGAGAATAGCTCCCCTGACTTGGCATGCATGGCAGGGCTAACGCTGTTCAGCGGGTACATTGACAGTTGGAGTCTGTCCTTAGACTCCACTCTCATTTGAATAGCAGTCTCAGTCAGCTGCACAGATCCCATAGTTAAATTATTTCAAAGTCTTCCTGAGCACTTCAAGCCCTTTGCTAAGTACATTGTGTGTTTTGGCTCATTGAATCTTACAGTAGCCCACTGAGGGAAGGAGCTTTGTTCATTTTAGAAAGTGAATAAACTGAAGCCTAGATAGGTCAGGCCTTTGCCCAGGGTCATGTGCCTGGGAAGTAGTGGAATGGTGTGTGATTCCCAGAGTCTGAGCAGTCCTATACTTCTTTAACTCTAAATTCTTAATCCAGATATTAAGGGATCCCTTCCTGACTGGATTGGCTTGGGACCAACACCCAATATTAGTGAGAGATACTTTTTTTTTTAAAGTTGAATATTTACTAGAATTAATAGCAATTCTGAGTAGGTGTTAACTATTGACAGGTTCTTAAGGACCAGCATAGAAAAGACCTTGGACCTAGATAAAAAGATTGGCGAAGTAATGTACGTATTACAAAGACTTAAGATATTTATGTATCATCAGTTGTGTAATTGCCCATTCTAAATGGCATGCTTGATTAACTGGACAATCTGATCATGTTGTTTAAAAGGGTGCACATTTATAGTTATATTTAGAATTGAAATGGAATACTGGATTTTTTAAAAAATGAACATGTTTTGTGTGTAAGGAAAAGTAGATGCAAATTTGAACACTGAACTTTTGACAGCCAAACATTTAAAAACACACCCCAGCCCAACAGTTAAACACACTAAGAAATGACAGTGAAACATTTAGAGTCTAGTTAGCATTTGTCCTTGAAACAGATCAGTAATTGTAGTTTCGGGCTCCAGTGGTCGGTCTGATCTTTTGCACAGCCTCTGGAATTCTGCTAGCATTTAAGTGTTCAGTGATACCACAGAAACTGTTCTCAGATCTTAGAATATTATTGTTGAAAAGCATTTTTCCAGTCTCCCAGATTTCCAGTTCACAACTTACTTTCTTCAAGTTTCTCCTGTAGTGTTTTTACTCTCCAAGTTAATATTATGTGCACACCTGAATTGCTGCTCTAAAATAAAAAATACTGGCTACTGGAAGGTAGGCCATCTCTCATTTATCTACTGATGATGATGAGCCCTTCGTATGGAGAAAGTCTGCCATACCTTTTATAGATTGAAAAGTGCAGGAAACTAAGGGCTAGCTCCTAAGTGAATTCTAAGTGAGTTCTGATCCTGGCAAAATCTGAATAGAAAGGCTTAATTTGTTCTTTTCTCCTGGGTTGCACAATCTTTTGAGAATGAACTGTCCGTTTTGGATTCTAATGTTATAGGCATGTGCATCTTCTGGTGATGAGTAATAAGAAGTCATTGTAACTGGTTCTTACTGTTTTTTTTTTCTGCTTAGAACACAGTAGGATTGTGAGTTTTTAATCTTAATTTTGGATGCAGTGAGATTTCCCATGTGTTCCAGTAAAGAAGGTTTTAAAATCTTAAGCCATAAAGAGAGCCAACCTTAATTCAGTCTCTTGCACTTCTCTTCCCACCTTCCATTTTCCCTTTAAACTGATGGAATGTATTTTCTTGTCAGGCCAATTACAGAATACAGTAGGCTATGGTCTATGTATATAACACATGTAACTTGTTTTAGATCAGAGTTGACTGCAATAATGAAAGGAGTGTCCACACTAAAACATTACAGAATACCTCCAGTGAAGGTAACCGGCCGCGCACGGGTAAAGATCGTAACCAGAAGAAAGACAAGCCGGACAGCGGGGATGGTCAGCAGCCACTCGTGAATGGAGTCCCCTAAACTGCATTATCCTCAAGTTATATTTCCTATACCATTTCCGTAATTCTTATTCCATGTTAGAAAACTTTGTTAGGCCAAAGACAAATAGTAGGCAAGATGGCACAGGGCATGAAATGAACACAAATTCTGTTAACTTTCTGTTGCTGTTGTTGTTATTGGCCATAGCAACAATTTTCAGATTTGCATACAAAAATACCTTGAATCCTAAAATACTGCTTTGAGTCTACTCCTGGACTCTAGCACTTCTGGACAAGACTTTTGTTTGTTGTGGTTTTTGGGTTTTTTTAAGTACTAAGCTCCTTGTTCATTTGGTCCATTTTCCTGCAATGACTTGGTAACTCACCAAGACATTTCAGTTTTTCTAAATAAATAGCATTTATGGAAATATTAGACTTCTGTTTTCAATGTCCTATAGAAGTCACCGTGAAATGCTATGTCATTTCATGTCCTGTGTCAGTTTATGTTTTGGTCCACCTTTCCAGTATTTTGGTGGGCCCTGAAATGTGTGTGATGTGACATTTGTCATTTTCATTAGCAAAAAAAGTTGTATGATCTGTGCCTTTTTTATATCTTGGCAGGTAGGAATATTATATTTGGATGCAGAGTTCAGGGAAGATAAGTTGGAAACACTAAATGTTAAAGATGTAGCAAACCCTGTCAAACATTAGTACTTATAGAAGAATGCATGCTTCCCATATTTTTTTTCCTTACATAAACATCAGGTTAGGCAGTATAAAGAATAAGATTTGTTTTTGTTTTTGTTGCACTGAAGTTCAACAAGTAGTGTTATTGAAGGGATGTGTAATTTTTCAGTTTAGACAGGAGAAGAAGTAACTGTCTTCATTTGAAAGCAAGTTAACTGTTTTGACTAGGTTGAAAGTTGGGAGGGTATGCCTGCTCTTTGGCCTGATGACCAATTTTAACGTAGAGCCTTTTTTCCCCCTTCCCCAAGTTTTGTGAACTTTTTCATATTTTCATTTCAAGCTTATTTTGGGGAGATAGGAAGGTCATTTCCATGTGTGTATAAATAATCCTGTGAAGTACAGATACTTTGTCTAAGAAACATTGGAAGCAGGCCAAATGTTTTGTAGAGTTTGAAATACAAGGTTTAATGTATAAGCAGAATTGGAAAGCAGATTAGACTTGATTAACAAATAATCCGTTTTTCTTCCCCTTTTTGTTATTTTTGGGGGTCTTTTTTTTTTAAGTGTGTTGGGTTTCAGTTTTGTTTTTTATTTTGTTGAGCAAAAGAATGAAATTTACTGAGGAAAAAATATGTGAAGGACCTTCAAAGATGTTATATTTTTCTTAAAAAAATAAATAAAAATAACTCCGAGTTAGGGGTACTGCTGAATCTGTACAGAGCCGTACAAACTGATGTTCTGCCTCTGATGTATTTTGTGAGTTTGTTTCTTTGAATTTTCATTTTACAATTACTTTTCCTTGCATACAAATAAGCATATAAAAACGGCAACAAACTGCACATGATTTAACAAATATTAAAAAAAGTCTTTTAAAAGTATTGCCAAACATTAATGTTGATTTCTAGTTATTTATTTGGGGAATGTATAGATTTTGAAAACAGAAATTGGTACCTTGCACACATCATCTGTAAGCTGTTGGGTTTAAAATACTGTAGATAATTAACCAAGGTAGAATGACCTTGTAATGTAACTGCTCTTGGGCAATATTCTCTGTACATATTAGCTACAACAGATTGGATTTTATGTTGACATTTGTTTGGTTATAGTGCAATATATTTTGTATGCAAGCAGTTTCAATAAAGTTTGATCTTCCTCTGCTAAATTGATGTTGATGCAATCCTTACAAATGATTGCTTTTAAAATTTTAAGGTAGGAAAAGACATCTATAGAAAGTGTTCTGTTACAAAAGTTAACTGTTACCATTGGAAATTTCCCATCATAGGAAGTTAGCTGTTCTCTACCAGTTTTCAAGAACTTAATATTGTTTAAGAAAGTGAACAAAAAATCAACAGAATGGTATAAAAATACATTGTACCATTATAATATGCACTAAGTCTATTTTTTACAAAGGCTGACTTCAGCAAGGCGCTAACTTGCTTAAATGTGAATTACTAACTTCTAAAACTGTAATTTGATTCACGTTTTCAAATGGAGTTGAAGTTGATTCATATTACAATATTTGTGTGCTAAACGTGTAATGTTTTTCAGTTCAAAGTCATGATGTTTTTAAAATCTTATTAAAGTTTCAGAACTCTGAAGATTGTTTATCTAGATGTAAATTTTTATTAAAAAGTTGCACTTATGTAAAAGCAAAAATCAGTCTGACAGATGTTTGCTCCTGGTTTGAAATCTTAACGTATGTTAAAAAAAAATCCGCTTCAGTGGGGATAAGTTTTTATTGTACAAAGCATATAGTTTTGTTGTGTGCTGTCGAGTCGGTGCTGACTCAGGCTGACCCTCCAAAGAGTTTTCAGAGGCTCTTAATTGCACCTGAGGAGACTGCCCAGCCTTCTCCTGAGGATTCACACTGTGTGACTTTGGGATTGCAGTGCAGCTTCTTACCACACGGCCACCAGAGCTCTATAAAGCACGTTGTTGTGGTGTACCCTGTACCATAGAGTTGGAGCCGGTCCTTAGCTGACCCTCCAGTAGGTTTTCAGTGGCAGTTAATCACATTGGAGGAGATTGCCCATCTTTCTCCCACGGAGCAGCTGGTAGATTTGAACCATTTACCTTTAGGTTGCCATTGCAATTCCTTACCACTAGGCCACCAGAGCCCTCTAAAGCGTATTGTTGTGTGCCATTGAGTCGGAACTGACCCATAGCTGACCCTCAGGCAGGTTGTCAGAGGCAGTTACTTGTTCGGGAGATTTCCCATCTTTCTCCTGCAGAGCAGCTAGTGAGTTTGAACTTTGTGCCTTCAGGATTTCAGTGCAATTTCTTGCCACCAGAGCTCCCTACAGCATATAGACCTTCCAAATAATCTTTGATGTTCCTTTAAGGCAAAACCAAAAACATTTGAAAATAATTCTTGTTGTAATAATGTTCCTAGTTGTACGGGTTCAGCCCAGTTTCTTCTTATGGAGAATGTAACTAAACCATATTAAACACATAGCCTTGCCTGTGCTCACATAAACATTTGAAACAATTGTGTCTGTGTAGTGGAAAAAAATTTTTTTATATCAACATCACAGTAATAAATGACAGGTTTGTAGTGGGCTGGGGGCCTGAGATGACTGCTGCAAGTAACCCCAGCAGTCTCCGCTGGTCCACCTTGTCCTTTGCCACCTGTCTGCTTCTCTGATCTCCTGTTCTGCTTGGCTCTGGGCTCTGCTGGAATTCTTCACAGAGCCAGGCTGCACGAGAGCTGGGTCAGTAGAAATGATCAGATCGTGGCAGTTCTCCCTTCTTTCACACAAATCTCCAGACTTTTCTGGCCAAGTAGCTAGAGGGGGTTGGAGAGTCCCCTGGACTCACTCCACGTGAGGAGCTGATTCTGACCATAACTAGGTATTCAGAATGTGCAGTGGTCACGAGTGGCTCAAAAGATTTCATGAGCCTGCAGTATTTAAATCTTGACGTCCTTTTTTTCTGTATGTGTATTGGAGGCCTTCTGAAAAGGTTATTTGTCTCAGGAGAATTTTTCCACAAAGAAATGAGAGAAAATAAGAGGGTTGGTTTTGGTGGGGTTTTTTTGTTGTTGTTTTTAAGTGCTTGGAAGTTTTATATTGGAGGCATTTAAAAAGTCTTTGAAATTGCATTTGCTAAATGATTAAAGACGATATTTCAAAGTAGAGTGCATAAAGACCTTCCTACTGATTTCTTACCACACCATTGATAACGTGGGAAGGTTGAAAATTGGAAGGACAGAAGATTGTGTCAACAAGAAGTGGTTAGAGCATGCTGGAAAGAGGCGGGTTTTCTGAGGCAGTTTATCACATGGGAGACTGCCCATCCTCCCGCGGAGCCGCTGGTGGATTCAAACTGCGGGCCTTCTGGATTGCAGTGCAGCTTCCTGCCACTAGGCAGTGCTCCCTAGGATATATTACTCACTATCATACACAACTCTGAAGACTTATGCTAAGGAAAAGGAAGCCCCAGTACAGCTTTTTAGCCTCTTGGTATAAGTGAAAGCGTCCTTGTCAAATTTCCCTTGGGGGATCAGGCCCTGTAAGAGGTGGCACTTGTGCACAAAGGAACACACACCATTCAGAGTTCAAGGTAGAGCACGGTTGTACAGGGAAGGAGCCAGAACTCCACTACCACCGACCAGGCAGTAAGTCAGCTCTGTTGCTGGAGAAGGCACTTCTCTGAGTTCCCAGTTCTTCAGGGTCACCTGGCTGCTAAGACTCCGAGGTTCTGCACACAGTAATAAAGTGCATGTGTTTCATGTGGGGAAAGCTTCAGAGTATGTGGTGAGGAACCACCCGTCTGATTTCACCTGGTTCTCATGAAATACACTCCCTGTATCTGCTCCTGCACAGGTGTCTTGGGAGGACAGAGAGAAGATCCACATCAAGTGATGAGTTAATGGCCTGTCCCAGTGTATGGTATGGTGAATGCTAAGGTGCAGAACAAACAGTGTGATGGGAGTCAGAAAGGGGCTTTGTTGTTACGTGCCGTCGAGTCACCTGCAACTCATAGTGACCCTACGTAAAAGAGCCCTAAACTCTGCTCTATCCTGTGCCAACCTCGCTGTCTCCGACACACCTACTCCCACCACCCCAATCATAAAACCAATCTATCTCATTGAGGGTCTTCCTCCCCTGCACTGTCCCTCCACCCTCCCAAGCATGATGTCCCTCTCCAAGGACTGGTCCCTTCTTGCAACATGCCCAAAGTATGTTAGACGAAGCTTCAGAATCCTTGACTCCAAGGAGCATTCTGGTTTCACCCTCTGCAGGACAAACCTGTTTTTTCTCCTAGCAGTCCATGGTATATTCAACACTCTTCTCCAGCACCACAGCTCAAAGGCATCAATTCTCTATCATCCCTAGTCACTGTCCAACTCTCCGATGCATAGCACATAATTAATTGCAAAGACTAGCCGGGATCAGGTGCGCTTTAAGTCTCCAGCCTGACGTCGTTGCTCTTCAGTACTCTTGAGAGGTCCCTGACAGCTCACTTTTCCAATGCAATTTGTCTTGATTTCCTGGCTGCTGGTACCAAGAGTGTGGACTGTAGAACCAAGTAAACAAACTGTTAAATATCTCAATCTCTTCACCATCCATATTGATGCTGTCAATTGGCCCAGTGGTGAGAATCTGTTTTCTTGATGTTGAGCTTCAATCCATATTGAAGGCTGCAGTCCTTGACCTTCTGCAGCAAGTGCTTCAGGTCCTCCTCAGTTTCAGCAAGCAGGGCTTAAACTTGGAACAAAGTCCCCAAATGGCTGTTTCTGGTGATTCCAGCTCACAGATCTTTTAAGTAGAATTTCCCTATAGATTATAGAAGCCGACTGTGACATTGTTCTCCCCTCAGAGAGGCTGATAGAAGGTTTTGAACTTCATTAGTTAATAACTTAGCACTTCACCTCTGCTGGTGGGGTGCCATGTTACAGAGTAAGATTGTGGTTTGGGGAGCCTGGGAATAGTTTGGGTCCCCTTTACACTTAGGGAAGTGTGGAGGGACAGGTGGGTTCCAGCTGCTCACAGGAGGGGTGCATGCATGTCCCACCAGCTGGCTTGCCAGGTGCAAGCTCCTCCGTCCCGTCCCGCAGCCCCAGTCCAGCTTCCCACAAGGTACCTGCAGCTAGCAGCCTCAGACAACACCTTGAAGAGCTGGTAGCTTGATTCAGCCTGCTTGGGCTGCCAGCTTGATATGCCCCTTTTCCTGGCAGGCTGTGCACTTTGTGAGATGCTATTCATCAGCCTGACAACTCTTTGCTCGGGTTCTTGGACATCTATGAAGCAAATGAAATGGAGAGGCCAGTGTTTTCCTTATGCATGTATACTTAATGATGGTTGTGGGGTTTGGCTTCAGCCACAGATAGGGCCCCCACAAGAGGTAAATTTCATCCCTGACAGCTCAGGCTTTTGGGAAACTTGTCAAAGGGATTAGATGACATCCCCTGAAGGGAGACCTGGCCAAGCTAAAATCACTGGTGACCATGTGCCACAGAAGACCTGAATGGTTACCACTTAAGGCAGAATGGGACAGAAAAGGTTGATTCCCTTACACGTCTGCCAGACCTTGGGTGCCTGAAATGAAAAGGTGAGACGAATGAACCTTTATCCTAAGTGACATCAAAACAGTTGATGCAGCCTTAACATTGATTTTATTATACTAGTTTATTTACAAAGTTCGAATACATTGTTCAGAACAGATTCTTCCAATTTCCTTCACCCTCCATCAAATTGTACAATCCCATGATTAATCCACCACCACCCCCTGGCATATCCTCACCCCTCTGCTTTCAGTCCCCCCACCGGATCCTCATACTTAGGTCTACAGTAACAATTTTATACAATATTTGTCCTTGTGGGATTAAGTCAGTTGACTCAGCATAATGCTCTCCAGTCCTTCCCAAGCTAGGTAATAATTTACAGATTCATTGCTCCTGTGTGCCGTGTAGTACTCACAGCCTAACTTTATAACACCTGTCATTGTGCAGTGTGCTGCCTAGAGGCCTTCTGGGGAAACTGAGGTACAGCTTGATGGGACTCAACACACTGACAGGAAGTTGGACTCCCAGAAATGTTCATGAGAGTCAATTGAGTTGCTCAGAAAATGCACTCCTGAAGCTGAAGGGTGAGCATTTGGGTGACAACTATGAGGTTCTTCATTGCCAAATGCATTAGCTGGCCTTACCAGTGGGAGGGAGAACAGTGCCTGCCCTGTTGTAAACAGGATTCAGAGGAATTTTGATTTGATTCCCATAACCACAAAGAAAGTCCCTGAGATCCTGAGTGCAAAGTGGAACACACCTACGAGAGCCATATCTGATTTGTGACACTGTGGCACTTTAGCATGGTGGTCTGGAAATTCTGTATGTTGGAGACTTGACCAAGTGACCCTAATTCAGAGAATGCTGGAAGAAATGATGAGACTATCCATCAGGGAAAGCAAGGGATAAAGCAATGCTTTGGAGCTGCTGATCCCTTTGTAAACAAGCTCAACCACTAACCGAAAGTTGAGCGTTTCTACCCAGAAGTATCTCAGAAGAAAAGCCTGGTCATTTGCTTCCAAAAAATCTGTCCTTGAAAACTCTGTGGAACAGTCTGACTCTCACATTGTTGGCATCACCATGAGTAAGAGTAGATGGGAACTGGTGTTTGGGGGTGTGTGACTTTTATACCCTATGT